TTTTACACAGACACACAAAATCAACTTTGTCAAAGAGAAAGGCCTCGTGGAACTGATAATCCAGGATTTCTGTGCTGATGACAAAGGGATCTACACAGCCCAGCTCAAAGATGGGAAAGCCAAAAATCAATTCACCCTTGTTCTCATGGATGAATGTAAGTGAAATTCAGGATCAAATATAGACTGCCATGCTCAGTGGAAACTTTGTGAGGCACTTAAGGCCCCAAAGTATTTCCAACAGTTCTAATGGCACACTGGGAAAGGGGAGTGCAAATTTTAGTCCAGATTTAAAATCCAGGAATCATTTAAGAAATGATCTGAATCTCTCTTTACCATAAATTAAAGCTTTTGGTCGTATAAATAGGTGCTTGAAGATAAAAGCAGTCTGCTGAAATGGAATGCTTAGTTCTTCCTTCCAAATGTTTTACATATTAGCTTGCAGTGGTGAACTGAGCCTTGGCAGCAGAGTGGAGTGTGTGCAGTCATTTATCTCAGGGCAGGAACAGGCTGGAAATTCAGTGTATTTAGCAGCTGGTCCACTACACTAAAGGTAATAAAGAAAGCATCAGCTGCACTCCAGGACAAGGCACAAAACCTCAACATGGAACACACAGCTCCCCGGACATGCAGTACAGAGAGCCTCCTAAAATTAATTAAAAATAGGAACAAGATTCTCATTCAAATCCTTCCCCATCAAGTGCCTATCCCTGGTTTCAGCTCTCTGCATTTTGCTTTCAAGTAATCTTCTAAAGCTTCCTTAGTTTTTGAATGGAAAATGTCTATAAAATGTCAGATCTCCCTGACTCCCTGGAGAGACACAAGCCTTTCCCAGAGAGATTCAGCACTTGCTGCCTTCAGGACAGAAAATTCATTTGATGATCTGTGCTCTAGAAGTGCCCATTGTCTTTACTGACAATGTAAAGGCAGGTACTAAAGTTAGATGGGGTTGTGCTCTCTGCCTGCTTCAGTGTTTCTTCCTTTTAAAATATTCTAATTTCAGATTTTTATATGGTGAAATTTTTATATGGTGAAATCCTGTATTTAGTTTACTAAATGCTCAATGGCCAGGTCTTCAGTGGCTCTTTTGTTTTAATGAAAATAAATGTTAGGGTCAGCATAAACAAACAGCATAGCTCTAATGATAACACCTTCTTTTGTACAGGAAATATCCAATAATGGGGGGTTGTTGACTTAGTCCTTTGCTGTTCCATAGCTTTTGCTAAAGTGGCAGAAGAAGCTGAAGCAAAACGGAGACAATGGAAGAAAAAGCAGGGTAAGATCAGCCAAAGGTTAAGGACTTGTCAGAATGAGACCAGGATGGCAAAACCCAAGCGAATTTATTTCACTTCATCATCTTTTTAAACACATTATTCAAGATGATTAAGACACTGGGATAACACTCCTTATTTTCAGCTGCTTTCCCCTGCCATTAAAAATCAAAATAATTAACTTGTTTTAGCCAAGCTAGGCAGATTTATCAGTGGAGATCTTCTGCATCAGTGCTGTGGCACTGAACACTTTCAAACTCTGAAAATTGTCCAACCCTAATATACATTCTGTAATTAAGATCCACCTATAAAAAACAGGATTCCTAGCTAAATTTTTAAAGATCCATGCATTCCACTTTCACCTCCTACTTTATGTTGATGAATAAATAAGTTTCTAAAACAAGTTCATTGGAAAAATAATACAACTGGAAAGGTGATTCCCTGCTAGTGAGGATAAAAATATTCACTTGTGCACTGCGGGAATCCAGCACTAGATGGAAGCATTCCCACAGGGAACACGGCAAAAGCACCACGAGAGAGATTTAATTTCTTTTCCAGGTCCACATTTCATAGAGAACCTGACGTGGAAAGTTTTGGAGAGCTGTGAAGTGCTCCTCACCTGCAAGGTAACAGAATTCCTTCAGCATTCGATTTCAGGTGTAATTTTCAGAGGATATGAGCAGTGCTCGTGTAAATGCTTTGCTGCAGTGACAGTAAGGAGATGGTTTTTTTGGGGCAGAAATTTTAACAAAGAAGGGAAATTCTCCGATTCTGTAGTAATGTAAGTGATGATTCATATTAAGACATCCAAGAATTAAGAAATCAAATGGATTTTGACTTCTAAATGTTGACTTCAAACAGGCAACAAACCTGAGGAAGGACACCAACTTCCAGTGGTTCTTCAATCACAAGGCACGAGCTGGTGGAGTGTTTGATCCACAGACTGGGATGGGAACTCTGCAGATCCCAAAGGTGAAACATCAAAAACACTTCAGAGGTTCACAGGAAAACAGAAAAAAAAATGGGCTGATCTTATTCATATTCCACGTGGGTTTTGGGTAGTGCCCACTGAGTGAAAGAAACACTGAGAAAAGCAAAAGAGAAAAAAACTTTTAATGGTTCTGAATCTGAGTTATAGTGGAACTCATGGCAGGGGATTGGAACTAAACAATCTTTAAGGTCCCTTCCAACCCAAACCAGGCTGTGATTCTAAGATCCTAATTAGAAATAAGAAGTTTTTAACAGTCAAAGATCAACACATCCCGAGAGGCTGAAAAGAGCCAGATTCACACCGGGACTGAGGCAAAAGCTGAGTTACTGACCCCCCAAAACCAACAGTTTCTGAACCAGATCCTCCCTACTGTTTCACAGGAGGTTTTGGGGCAAATTGACCCTTTTTCCTGCTCAGTTCAACCAAATTTCTGCTCAGTTCAACCAAATTCATAGGGAAGGAAGAAGAAAATCTCAACTTTTTCCTCTTTTCCACATCCTGCCTTGTATCAGATATCGGAAATTTCTCTGGGAGAGGTGTTGTTTGTTTTGGGGCTTGTTTGGGTTATTTTAATCAACATTACACATGCACATATGTATGTGGTAGGTAACCACAGCAGATGAGGGCCTGTACAAAGCAGTGGTTTCAGATAACAGAGGAGAGGACTCCACCCAGCTGGACCTCACAAAAGGGGGTAAGAGAACCTTGGATCACGCAGTAAGACACATTCACACTCCTTCCCTGAGTTCATTTTGGATTTAAAACCAAATATCCTCACTTTCTATGAAACCTACATGTCCTATGTCCTTTTATAGGAGTTAAAACCCACATTAAAAAGTTACTGGTTAATTTAAAGAGTTTCCTGCTCTACACGCTGATGTCATTTTCACCTGCAGTCATTTCTCAAGCCAGGACTGCATTATAAATTCTGCCAAGCCCCAGAGATAAAAGCTCAGGGATATTTCAGTCACTTCAACCCAGAATCAATCAGAAGGTTCTGCTGCCCAAGATTAAATGCTGTCCCGACATCTGGAATCCATCATTTAAACCTGGTACATTAATCTCCTGTCTGGGAGGCACATGGTGAGTGTGAAGGAAGATAGGAGCAGCTAAATTTAGTAAGAAATGCCCAGCATCTGCAAACAAATGAATCAGAGGTAAAAACTCCATTCCCAGGGAGCTTTGCCACAGAAAAAGACAGCAAATAACCCCTGGATATAAAACATCCTAACCACAGTAAAATTAATTGGCAGACTGGATGTGCTTTGCTATGATTTGTATTTACAGACACTTGAATCTTTGTCTTTCAGCCTTTGAGGAGCTTCTGAAGGAGCTGTGCAGGATCAGTGGTATGTCAGCTCTCAGCATTACAGCAGAGGGGAAAGGTGGCGTGGCACAGCTGGCCCTGGGTGTGGAACCAGCACAGCCCCAGCCCCTCGCTGCTCCTTTGGCTGGATTTCGATATGGAACAGGTAAATCTGGGCATCCCTCCTCCATTTCAGTCTTTCTGTTGCACCACCAGCTCTTTCTGCCACACCTCTGAAGATCCAGCCCACTGAGGAAGGCATCAAAATCTACACAGATGTCAAGTACTACACAGACTACATGAAAACCACCTGGTACCACAAGTAAGTCCCCAAAAAAAATACTTGCAAAGCTTCTGGAGCACTGTTCCTTGTAACTATCCAAAATTAAACATTTGGGCCTGAGCCCATACATTTTTCAGGCAACTGTGGATTTGTCTGAGTAAGGGCTGAAATCCACAATTCACTCCCATCCTGGAACGTGTCTGGGAATTCCAGAATGAAAAGTCATGTTATTTTTATTGCAGCACTGCAGAAATATTTATAAGGAGTCATCTTTCCTAGAATAATAATGATGCTGCACTTATGATACTGTTCAGTTACAGCCTCCTTGGTTACAGACAGAATTTTTTCAAACACTTTTATTTTTACCACTTAATGTTTTCCTAAACCACTCTCTCCCCCAACTCTGAATAAAAAATATTCCCAAAATTACAAAATTCTTCCTAAACATTGACTAATTTAGCCTCATAATGTCTTCCTAAATAGAGAGCCTGTGTTTTATTAGATACCACCTACACATGTAGATAAGGAGGTGAATTTTTAGTAACATTCAAGGGCTAAATACTTACAAATATTCAACATCTAAATGGGATTTAATCCCTTAAATAAGAACTACGAGGTCTTTTGTAGAGTTTGTGAGGTTTTGGCAAACTGCCTCAAAGTACAGCCCCATGGGATTTCCTCTCTCAGTGAAATGAATCCTGACTCCCACACTTCCAACCACTACAGGTCTAGAAAAGTGATTTCTCCAGCTCTGCTAAATATGACTGAAATGACATCGCTTGCTTTCTCAGGGAGAAACAACTGGAAAGCCGTGACAGGATGAGAGCTGGGAGCACCATGAATCAGATCTGGCTGCACATCCTGGAGCCCACGGAGGCTGACAAGGGCAAATACACCCTGGAGTTATTTGATGGGAACAGCTCCCACAAACTGTCAACAGACCTGTCTGGGCAAGGTGAGCTGAGTCACACCTGAGCTGCTTTCCAGGAGCCCTTCAAACCCTGGGCAGGGATTCCTCTCCCCCTTACTGGAGCTGATTTCCATGTGGAATTGGGGTGAAGAGGGCAGTGGAAAGCCCACAGAAGCACGAGGCAAGTGGGCAGGAGAAAGGATTGAAGCCTTTAGGGAGACGTGGCACTGCTGGGAAAAAGATGAGAAGGGGGCAGCTGCTCCTGGGATGTGTCCAATTCCTCCACTGGACAACAGAGCTCACAGGTGGCATCTTGGAAAAGAGAACTTCCATGTTTACAAAGGCTTTTCCAATCTGTTGGAGTTTTTTTTCCTCCTCTGAACTTCTCTTTGGAAAGAGAGGACTCAGTCCCACGTATTTCAGCAGTACACAAACAGAGCTGTTTCCTTAAGGCAGGGACAGGTACTATCTAGAGGATAATTATGTTTATCCATGTAATCCCAGCACCGATAACAACAATATAATGCTAAATCTACTGAGTCAAACAAAACAAAAGGCAACTTTCCCTAAAACCTTTCATTCTTGCAGTTTTTGAAGATGCCCTGGCTGAGCACAGGAGGCTAAAGTAAGTTCCTGCCTAAATACTTTCACAGCTAAATCTATTTTGATTTGACAATCTAAATTGTTAATATAATGGCTAATAAATCAAACCACAATAATTTTCTCTCCCTTTCAGGGAAGCAGCAATAGCAGAGAAGCGTAAGTAAATGAATCTCTTCCCTTCAGTGAAACAAAGGCAAGTTTGCTGATAAGAAAAACTAAAAGGTTCTATTTGTTCATACCCAGGTCGTGCCAAAGTTGTTCAAGGTCTGCCAGATGTTGCCACCATCATGGAGGACAAGGTGATATTGAGTAACTCCATTAATTTGTCCTTGCACAGACACAGAAGGATTACTGATGGGGAGGAAAGATCCTTGTGTTACCCTCCTGTGCACTGCCAGCAGCTTTTCTGAGTTGCTGCATTGCCAGAGGTGGGAAGTGGTGCCCTCCTGGGCCACCTCCACAGCCAGACCCCTTCTGTTGTCCTCCCATTTCACAGGATTGAACTTTGAAGGCCTTTAGGTGCTGGGCCTGATTCTCCCATCAGCCCAACTCCCTGCATCCATTTCTGAGTCACATTCCTCTTTACTCAGGAGCACAAAACCCCTGCAAAAGTAACTGCAAACTCACCATGTGCCTGTTTAAGTGCCACTTTACAGCACAGGAAGCTATAAAGAGACAGTAAGACAAATATGAGTCAGGCCCGGTGAATTCAGGCAGGTTAATCCTGATTGTACTGGAGGCTATCAGGAAAAGGAGTATCAGACATCACTGTTGGAATGTCACCTAAGGAAAAATGTGAGAACTGATTTTTATTGTTCTTAATTTAAAAGATGTGTGGATGTGGCACTTGGGGACAGGGTTCAGTGATGGCCTTGGCAGGGCTGGGTTAAGAGCTCGATTTTAAGGGTTTTTTCCAACTAAATGATGCTGTGATTCTATGAACTGACTTTCCCTGCATATTTACAGCTCCATAATCCATTTCTGTTCTCTGCTTCACAACAGACCCTGTGCTTAACTTGCTGTGTGTCTGGAGACCCCTACCCAGAGATCACCTGGTTCAAAAACGAGAAGGTCATTGAGTTTAAGGACAGATACAAGATGGATGTGAAGGGCTCAATGGTCACAATCACCATAGAGAAAGTCTGCAATGAAGACACAGGAAAATACAGCATCTATGTCAAGAATAAATATGGGTCTGAAACAGGGCAGGTCACTATCAGTGTCTATAAACATGGGGAGATCCCAATAGGAACAGAGCAGGAAGTCCCAGCTAGGATTACCACAAAAAAGCATAAATGAATTAATTGTCTCCTTGAATTTGAAAGGAATTTAACTCCTTCAGATGCCTTTCAGAGTCTCTACCCTAAAATTCAGACTTCTGTCTCTGTGTTTATTTTAGCAATATTTCAGTATTTTGGCAGTTGTTAGAGAACAATTCTCGTGTGTGTGTGTGTGTGTGTGTGTGTGTGTGTGTGTGTGTGTGTGTGTGTGCTCACATGTGTGTTCACTGCATGTTCACCTTCCAGAAAGACCTTGCCCTGATAAATCTGTGTGGGAAATACCAGAGGATCCACACATGAGGCTTTCAGTGGAGGGTTTTTGCATTAAATCACTACATGTAACAGATTTTCTTGCAGCCTGTGTGTGCGTGTGTCATTAAACTCAAACCCTTGGTGACATCTCAGCACTGCTTTGAGTATATCCATGATGAAATCACCTGTGGGTGTATGGGAAGTCAGAACACACTCCACACATATAAATGACCCTGCAAATCAGGAATTCTCATAGGTAAATGTAATTACAAATCTAGCTCTTTCTGTGTGAATCTTCTTAAAAATTACCTACTAAAAAAAGGGTGGTGAATTGGTAAGAAAAACCTGAGCATTGGGTTTCTATTTAAATAGAATGAAAAGTTAACTTGGAAAGGTCACCCACCCCTGGGATACAGCCTCTGTTTGAATTAAGCAATGAAATTGCAAGACACATCTAATGAAAGTCTTCCAAAATCAACAGTCAGGCTTGCACAGACAGCAAGGAACATCACTCAAGGGCTGGTATGAGTGAAGAATTCCTTGTGCAGTTGGTGAGAACAAAAAATAACACATCCTATTTGCTTCCTCCATTCACTCTCCAGTCAGTGTTCCATGTTTTATCTTTTATCTTCTCTTAAAGTAAAAAGTAAAGACAAACTGAATTTAATTCAATTCAGTTAGGTGCACATCACTGACATCTGCTGGATAAAAGAATCACTCGTGTCCCACTCCAACATGATTTTGCCTGTCCTCAAGCAATGGGAGGCCTAAAATTCTGAAAGAAATAGAATGGTTTTATTCATTCTTTATCCACCATTTGGTTCAAGTGCCCACAGCAGAGAACATTGTTATAATTAGGAAGTTCCTGCTGTACAATACCAATTACCTTGATCTACTATAACTTTATCTGAAGAATTCTACTCAAGACACAGAGAATGTGTTAAACACAGAAGTTGTGAGCAAAACACAAACAAATGAAGCTGCACTGCAACACTTTCCAACAAGGATGGGCAAACACCCAAGGTCAGTAACCCACAACAAACACAACATCCCAGCCCTCAAGGTAAGAGCAGCATGAACGAGAGGTTATGATCATTGAGAACAAATAATTGATTAATGATTGCCATTCCCCAGTTAATAATTAGCCCTCTGACAATTCTGGGCTGGCCTCTCTGTTTCCATAAATAGCACCCCGAGAGCAGGGGGAGCCCTCGCTGTGTCCCACCATGGCGTTCACTGGCACCTGGCAGATCTACGCTCAGGAGAACCTCGAGCCCTTCCTCAAGGCCCTGGGTAAGTGCCTGCTCCCTCCTCAAATCATCAGCACCACAGCTCTTACTGCTGCATTTCCATGGATTTTGTCCTTTTCTTTCCCTGACAAACTGCCCTGCTTGCTTAAATCTGTTTGATCTAATTTGGATGTGAAAAGAAGGTGAAAGTTGTCTAAATTGATGGAGAAAGGTTACAGAAAATCCCCAAACCCCTGTTTTAATGTTAGATGAACTCCTAAAGAAAGAAGAGTTGTTGTGTTGATTGACTTGTAATTTTATAAACACATATAGCTAGAAACAAGCCATCAATGACTTATTCAGCTTCCCAATTACTGGTACAGAAGCCCTTTCTACAGCACAAATGCTGTCAGTAATTGTGAATAATTAACACGCGTGAAAAGTGGTCAGTAACCTGTCAGTGATTTTCACATGTGGTAAGTGTCAGAAATCTCTGAGTGATTATCAAATCTAATCTGTGAGGATTAGGAGGTGCTGCACCAATAAATATGCACTTCCCTTTGCCAACAAAGCATTCCCGTTGGGGCTTTTAAGAGTAAATACGAGATATTCAGGAGAGTAAGATCCAGTTTCAGTTGAAAAGCCTGGTCTGACAGTGTGACAGAACCAATCCCTCTCCTGGTGACAAATGACACCTTCAAATCATGCCAGGGACATCCCAAAAAGGGAGTTTGATGGGAGTCCCCCAACTCCCATCTCCCTGGGAAAACAAGTCATGTACACATGGTCATGGAGCATCATCACCCCATGGCCAGCCCTTAGGAAAAGAAACTGTGCATAATCTGACACATCACCAAATATAATACCAAAACCTAACCAGACTAGGAGGAATGGAGCAAAAAGCCCATTGAGAAGAGAGGAATCCAAAACAGGATTGTCTTTTAACTTGGACATCACCTGCCAGTAGTGGCTTGGATCTTCTGTGCCTTTGTTGGAAGGCACAATTTGCTATTTTGCTATTTCCATAACAAAAAGTCCTGTTTTGCCTATTTTTGCAGGGTTGCCAGATGACACCATCAAAATGGCCAAAGATATTAAGCCTGTTGTTGAAATACAACAAAAAGGCAACGACTTTGTTGTGACATCCAAAACACCCAACAAATCTGTAACCAACTCATTTACAATTGGCAAAGAGGCTGACATCACCACCATGGATGGCAGGAAGCTAAAGGTAAAGCATTCCAAGAATAGGACAATTCTTTATTTATCCTTAAACCTCAAGTTTGTGCGTGAGTGGAATATGTTTGTACCATTTCCATTTGCAAATATTTCTATCACTTTAACAAAAAGAAATGTTCCTAAAACTCCCATTCAAATGCTGTGCTCTCCAGTTTAAGTTAACAGTTGTCATCATGAAACATCAGGGTAATTTATCTCCTATTTATTAGTCCTCTACTTACTCAAATTGAATTCCAAAATCTAATTTTTAAAAAATATTTTTTAAATGTTCCAACAGTGCACTGTGAACTTGGTCAACGGGAAGCTGGTGTGCAAATCAGATAAATTTTCTCACGAGCAGGAAGTTAAAGGAAATGAAATGGTGGAGGTAAGTGCTAGAAAATAAGGGCACTTGCAGAAAAATGCTGAAGGAAAAAATGTTGATTAACTTATAGTGTGTACAAAGTGTCCCTGTGGATAAAGGCTGCTCCAAGGAGCACAACCAGCTCCAATTTTTCCTTTGTGCAAATGTTGTACATGCAGGTACTGTGACTGTATTTTCTTGTGGACTAGAATGGATTTATTCATGAATTTCAGATGCTTCTGCCACTTAGCTATAAATAGATTTCCTAAAGTTCAAATGTGTATTTGTCTCCCACAGACTATAACATACGGTGGAGTAACGCTTGTCAGAAAAGGCAAGAAAGTCTAAAGACAGATCCCCTCCTCTGGACACCTTTACATACCTGAAATAAAGTGCACTTTCCACAAGGTGTGATCTCTGTTTTATCTGAACAAACAGTACAGGAAGTCATGATGATTTCTGCTCTCCTTTCACACAGCACTTCTCCTTGTTACAGGACTGTGATTTCCCCTCTGTCCTCAGAGAAATTTGCCTCCCAGACAACCCAACCTGGACATAAATCACACTGTTCCAGTTCACCACAATAATCCTGGGGAGCAGCCAAAAGCTACAGAAATGCTCCTTGATTTCTTACACACAGACTGAACACGCTCAGCTTTAGTTCCTGCTTCTGCTGAAGGTTAGTCTTTAAGCAAACCCCGTTTCTATGACCTGGCCAACAGAGAACAATCAGGCATTTGTTGAGCTGATCTGTACCACATGGCCCAGGAATAGAAACAGCAATGTTTTAAAAGCTGTGAAGCACCCACCAGACATTAACAATAGGGATGGCTGTTCTTAAACTGAATTACACAAAAGTACAATTAAGAGGCACCACAAGAGCAAAGAGAATTAAACATTCTTCCAAGTTGCAATGAACTCCCAGTATCTTGTCATGGCCCCAGTTCGTGAAGCTCAAGTAAACCAGACTTTGTTCAGACCCCGTGTCTCTATTAAATACAAAACACACAGCAGCTGTGCCTAGAAACATTTCTGTGCTGATTAGATCCTATTATTGTATCAGCAGCCCCATTTCATAATTTAAGTCACTGCAGATTTGTTAGAATTGGTTTTAGGAGCAAGACCTCCATGAACGAAGTTGCTGGGCTGATAATGCCATTCCAAATGCTCATGGGGAGGTTTTACCCCAGTGAAGAGTGCTGAGTTTCCATCTCCCCATGCTAGAAGAGGGGAGAGGTTGTATTTTAGTTAATAACACAATGTGGCACAAGCAATTTGGGAAGTGTATTCTTATTCTGGGATAAGGCTGTTCTCAGGGGGAGTTTCACTGGCATAAAGGATCATTGTGCTCTTTTTGCTTCCCAGGCAGCTCCAATGCCAAGCACACTCCTGCAGCCAGAATTAAATTCCATGTGAGTTACACAGAAATAAGATCAACAGCACAGAAATCAGGACTGGTAAAACTCAGGGAGGAGGAGGAGGAGGAAGAGGAAGAAGAAGTTGCTTCAAGGCACTGGTGCTGCAAAAAGCCACCCAAGAAAGAACTCAGCACCCTTCTCTGTGGGAGTTGCTGGGTAACTGCTGCGAACACACCCTGAAACCAAACACATGCTGTGGTTTTCCAGCAGGAAATTCACAGAATTGCTGCAGGTCCACAAGGAGCAAAGGCTGTACTTGCAAACTGGAGGATGGAACACACAAGACACTTCAGGTTTATTTGTAAACCAAGGCAGAGATGCTTCAATACCCATTTCAAACCCATTATAAAATGATTGTTGTAGATGCTACACACTAAAAGCACACTAACCTTATTTAGAACTTAAATTCATGCTAAGTCATCTTAATGGCTAAAATTATAAAACTTAAAAGAACACTTCACCTGGTTTTCTTCACAATTGCAATGATTTCATTTTTCCAGCAATGGTGCCAATCTTCCCCATCCTTCTGGCAATGTCCTTCTGCCACAGGGCACCCCAGATTTGGGTGGAATATTCAGTGCAGGTCCTTATGTGAAACAGTCAAATCCTGAAGGATTTTGATCAGGCTAAAATCTGTATCCCATGGCCCAAAGGAATGAGCATTCCTAGATGGCATAACAGGCTGGGATGGTAGCTCTGGATTCACTATTCCACAAAAACAAGTGCATTTTTCTGTGAAGGAATCAATTGGAATATTTATAATCAAACTTGGATCTCAATCAAAATTTTGGCTCCCAATCTGTAATCCTGGCATCATGGATTTCTATCCATCAAAGTCCACTCTTTGGTAAATTCATTGTTTGAAAGAATTTTACAGAGTATCTGTAAAATATCTTTTTTCTTTTTTGCTTTGTGCCAAGCACTCCCACCACAATTCCAGTCTCTGATGTGCATTCTTGGCTTGGATTTTAGGTTCTTTTAATGATTTGTGTGAGCAGATCTGTGTTTATATTGCACAAGGTAACAACTTGACCTGCTGCTTGCATACAGAAAAATGCTAACTGTAAATATTTAATGCAAAAAACATTGTCAGAGATCCGCATCCCTTCTCTGTTGAATCTTGCACACAGACCCTGAACATAGAACCACATAAAGACCTTTTTTTTTGGAAGTGTATATGTCTGCACATCTCCTGTGTTAGTGACTGAACTTCATCTGCCATTCAAACTTGAATCATCTGTCATTCCAAACCTGTAAAAATCAGGCACTTCTTAGTGTGAGATTGCCAAGATATAAACAGCAATGTCCTCCCACCAGTTTTCATTCATGAATATTAAAAATAAAGATGCAAATACACTGGTGGCAGACACCAGGGCTGCATCAGCTCAAAGTCTTTCTGTACCTGCAAAAGTTTGCTGAAAATCCCTCACATGAAATGCAGATACTTTTCGTTGAACTGTCCACCAAACCCTGTGACTGTGGGGTCAGATGTGCCTTTTATCCACTTTTATGTGAGTCACACATGAGCGTGGCAAGAAATAATCTCTCCACCCATCACCTGCATTGTTTTCATCACACAAATTGCTTTAATGGAAAGGGCTAGTCCTGTGTAAAGTCTGATGAAAACTCCTGGGGCTCAGTAGGGCTCTGGGTAACCGTGTTCTCCACAAAAATGGGATTAATTACTCCGTGTGCAACGATAGTTACACACTCTAGAGTAACACTGGTCATTTATTTCAGTGTTGCACAGTTGGGGCCCTGTGGGATTCCACAAATCAAGCACACCAACAATCAAAATGTATTACTATTTACACATTTCAGCAAACAAAGGAATTAGTGTGCCTTGGCTACAAGTCACATAGTTCTGAATTAGTATTCTATCTCCTGTTGGTTAATTATTCTGTTGTTTCTCATGCTAATTAGTCCCGTTCTCTCCTTTTGAGTCAGGGGTCTGTGGGTTGTTGGTCATGAACTGCCCCTGCAGATGTAAAATTACATTTTACCCAGTTGGAGATCATTTCAGCACAGTTGCTGAGTTGGGTTTATTAGTTTCTTCTGTACCTTGGGAGTTCTTGCCAGATGGCTCATAAATTCTGCATTCTTTGTGCTCCCTATCAGTGAGCATCCTTTTTTCTCAAGCTTTGTTAACCTCCCCCAGGTCTGAGATCATCAAAGCATGTCCAGCCCTAAACCTTAACCAGGCAGTTCTACCAATTTGTTATTCTAACTCAGGGACATCCCTTAAAGCTTGTTGGCTGCTGTTTACACGGGTAACATTTCCCTTCTTGTTGATTAGGCTTGAAAGCATAAAAAACATCAAAGAACATATTTTTGTTAACAGAACTTATACATACTCCACATTTTCCAACAGCAAGGCCACAGGGCAGTGATGCCTTGAGCCTCAGGAAGGGCATTACAGCCCGAGGCCGTGTCAGTTGTGTGAAAAATGCATATTTTATGATTGGCTTTTCACAAATATTACAATGAATATTATATATGTAATGTTAGAAAGGTATGCTGTATTAATTCTCTCAAGTAGTGTGTTAAATAAAACTTCAGGTTCCAACATATGTTAAAATAAAGACTATGTATGTCAGGGGAGTTTTATTTTAGGAATGAGATACTCGCTTCAAGGAACACCTAAATCTTCCAAAGAAAAGGAATTTATGGTTTTCTTATCAGAAAAAGCTAATTTCTTCAGGCCTTGGTCAGAGTCGAAGACGCCATGGGATTAATGGAAATAGTTGACATACAACAGAGTTCTTGTTTTAAATAGAATGTATGCATAGCCATGAAGGATATATGAATATGCAACAGGCTATTGCTTTTAAGGTTATTCCTTTGTTCACAAAGTATGCTTTTCGTGCCTTAGTGTCCGAGAGCATCCGGACGCCCGTAATTCTATTGTCTTGTAATTGTCCTAACCCTAAACTTTATTACTCTAATTGTATTACTATTTTTATAACCACTGTCACTATTATTAAACTTTCAAAATTTTTACAAACCAAGTGACTGGCGTTTCTCACAAGTTGGCTGCACAGGAGGGAGGCACGGCGCTCTGAGGCGGCCGCACCGGGCCGGGCCGGGCCGGGCCGCGCTCTCCCCTCACGGCGGGGGCGCGGCCGCCATCTTGCCCCCGCGCGCGCTCCTTTCCCTCTGTTTCGGCGGGAAAAGCGAGCGGGGGGGAGAAGAGGGGATCGCGCATGCGCGGCGCGCGCCGGAGGGCCCGCGAGCTCCCGCGCGGGGCCGCGGCGCACGCGCGCTGCCGGAGCGGGGCAGGATTTTTGGCGCCGCGTTTCGCTCTCGCGAAGTCTCGCGAGACGCGGCGCGCGGGCGGGCGGGCGCTGCAGCTCCCTCAGGGTCGCCTCAGCCGCTCCCGGGCCGCGCTCGCTCCTTCCCTCCCTCCTCTCCTTCCTTCCTTTTCCTTCCCTCCTCTCCTTCCTGCCGTCTGCCCCAGCGCCGCCGACATGTCCCGCTACCTGCGGCCCCCCAACACCTCGCTCTTCGTGCGAAACGTGGCCGACGACACCCGGTGAGTGGGGGCGGAGCGGGGGCCGGCGCAGGCTTTGGCGGGCTCGCTAGGCCGCGCCCGCGGGGGTCCCCCTGCAGCCGGGGCAGGGAAGGGGGCGAGCCTGTCCCCGCTGCCTTCCTCCGCTCTGCCTTCTCCCTTCTCCCTGCCCTGCCTTCCATTTTCCTCGCGATGCTGCTCGTTCCCCGCCTCTCCACGCGGGTTCGTTTCCGAACAGCGTCCAGAAAGAACAAAGCTGGGCCGCGACAAAGTGAAACTCCCCGCAGCCGCCTCGGAGTGTGTCCAGCGGGATGTGCCCACCGGGGCCGTGCTGGGCAGCCGCTGGAGTTTGGGATGCTCCTCGGGAAATGCAGTATTGCTGCTAGATGGGAGAAATTAGAGTGTCTATGCCCAAAATTGCTGGCGTGGCCGGTCCCGTTAGCCTGGGAGCTGCTGCCAGTGCAGTTGGAATGTTGCTGCCGTGATTGTCGTGTACCGGGGCCTCTCGGGACGCTCGGTCCGGGGTCGAGGGAAGCAATGCTTGGTCCCCGTTATAATCGCGTGGTTCCGAGAGCCCGTAAGGACTAAACATGTGCAGTGAGAGAACTTCTCATAGGGAATTGAGGCAACAAAAACAGAACGTTGCACAGGTTCTTATTCCTTCTATGAGCTGCTGGTCTTCCTCATTTCACTTGGGCAGTTTAGTGACCAAAAACGTCTTTGGTGTTTGCTATCGGCTGTGGAACATTTACAGAGCACTGTTGGCACGGAATGCATTTGTCAGAGCGCTCCTGTGTTGTTATTTTTGTGTACAGTTTGTACGGAGATCCCTGTAAGGTCCAGTCTTATAAACTGTGAGTTTTTCAACTCTGTCTGGGAAACTTGAGCCAAAGTTGTTCAGTAGTCAACGGTACTGTGGGCACGATGGAATGGAATGAAATTAAAATTTTTAACTTTTTTTTCCCCATTAATTTATTCATTTTTCCAATAGTTTATTTTACTTTGAGAACAGCTGAGGATGATTACTTCCAAAGTCTTTACAATCATGTGGATCCTCTTGAGGATTCACCTTAAGCACAGAGTTCCTGGAGATGGTTTCATTGTGAGATCTCCATGGTGGTGGTAGTTCCCTTCTGCCAGCACTGACTGGAGATTTATTTCCCAACTGGTGCAAAAGAAAGGAAGAAATACTAAAAACCAGTAGTTACTCTCATATGCCACCCAAACATGGGATTGCATCAATCTTCTCATGCAGGTTTTTGTCCTCAAATTAAATGTGAGGAGCTTCTGTTGAGGCGAGGCTGCTGTTCCAGGGGTAGCTGCAGCTGAACAGTTTTGTCTCAGCTCTCTAAAGCCAACTCTTTGGAAAAACTATCCCGGGGGCATGAGTGGCTCACTGAGATCTGTTGTGTTTGATGTGGTTGTAAGTATTGATTATTCTATGGAAATGACTTTGGGTGACTGGTTTGGTCTCATAATGTTTATTTGGATCTCATAATTGGTGTTTGTGTGTTGCAAAAGAACTGTCGAGGTACTTGAATAATAATAACAATAATTTAACAATCCTTTCTTTCACTTTCTGCCAATCCTGCTGCAGTGAATGAGCTGGTGTGCATCACTTCTCAGTTTACATTTTTATTTCAGGGTTAAACTGAAGGCTGGTTTCAAACTGCTTGACACTTGAGTGTTTCAGAAAAGCTCCATGTGCTGCCAGCAGGGAACTGCCCAAACACTTCCTTCCCCAAAAAACATTTTCCTACTTTCATCCTCCACCAAATGCTTCCAAAACTCAAGGGTGTTGATGTTAATTGTAGATTGGATTTTTGCTTGTTTTGTTTCATTTTGTGGCTGTTTTGTGGCACCTCGGGCAGTGCCAAAGCCATATCAGGTGTTTTTGGTGTTGCAGGTCCGAAGACTTGCGCCGGGAGTTTGGTCGTTATGGGCCTATAGTTGATGTTTACGTTCCACTTGACTTCTACACCCGTCGTCCCAGAGGATTTGCCTATGTTCAATATCCTTTCTTCAGATGGCTCATTAGTGAGGGGTGTTGAAGTTTGAAATTCAAGTTTGTGTAAGAGGTAACCAATCTAAATGAAAAAGCAGTTTACTTTTGTGTTGTATCTAATAAGTGTCTTACTTATGTCGTGGTGTTTCGTTATTTTTGAAGATTAACTTCTCTCAATTGTTCTTTGCCTTTTTTGCAAAACTTAAGTCCAGTAATATAAAAGCTTGCTTATGTCACTGAAATTAATACTATATGATTTAAATGAAAATTTATCACTGACTCAAAATTGTCTAGCACGTTTTTATTATCACTGGTGTGTAAGTAAAGTTGTGCTTAGCAAAATGTGGCTGCTATTCATTGTTAATTTAACAAATGGAAACTGGAATCACTTGATCAAAATCAGATTGTGTAAAAAATGAGGTGAACTTCTTTCTTTAATATTGTCCCCTAATTTGCTGTCCTCTGTTGTTGCCTCAGAATGTAAAGCTGTACAGTAATGGCGACCCCAAAGAGAAAGCATGAAAGAACCTTTAGAGTAGAGTTCAACAATTAAGGCAAGTAGACAAGCCAAAGACCTCTTAAGGATCAGGCTTGAAGAGAAGGGAGAGTTTGGGAAAAGAAAAAGTAAAGAAAAGCTGGAAGAAGGACAAGCCATAATGGGAGACAAAGCTTCGCTTTATCTACAAAAGGGGGAAAAGGTTGTTTTTCAAAGTTAAAGATAAAGCCATCTGTCATTTTTGGCCAAGCATCTCATGACAAGTCCTTCTGACAAGCACTTAAAGAGTTAAAGGTCAAGATGAAGTTGAATGGTGGCCAAGATTAAAGGAGTCATACCTGATGTATCCTACAGAATAACAGTTTCTCTTCTGTCTGTCATGTAAGCAGTGATTTGATGAATTATTCTGGTTTAGTCCATTGACAAAACCTGTAATATTTCTCTTGTGAGTGCTACTGTAACTGTGGTCTGAATCAAATGGAAGTTTCTCTCCTGCAGAGATGATGCTGCTGAGAAATGAGTAGCCTGAAGGGGAAAGGCAGCTTATTGTTTTGGGTCCCACAAGCTGGAATTAAGGGTGTAAATTCCAGCATTAAAACAAATATTTGTCACTGTATCTTGGCCCTGAGTGGCAGTGCAGGCTCCCAGTGTCTGCTCCTCTCTCACACTGGGGAGGCTCTGCACACAGGGCTGTGACATGACATCAGTTAAACCTAAAATCAGTTCTTTAAAACAAAAAAGGAAACCTTTATTCCAATTCCAAAGTTAATAATTAACATTTATTGTTGGTATCACCAACATAATTTAAGAACTAGGGCTTAATTTTAATAAACTCATTGTAGTGGAGAGAAGTAAATGACCATTAACAAGTGTGTTTTGAAAGGATACCTTTGTTTTCTTTGCATAAGTACAAGTGGGAGAAGAAAAAAAATTAAGAGTATCACATAGCAAGTGCTTGCTGATGGATAAATTCATAGTCATATTACAACATTTTAATTTTATAACAGGAGTTCTCAGATAGCTGGTGGTTAATTGAAAAAAAAACACTAGTGTGTTGAGTAGCATGAGAAAAAAAACTTAAAACATGGCTGTAAAATGAGAAAATAAGTTGAAAATGTGTATTTTAAATACCAAATCTGTTAAACTGCTCAAATTCCCAAGTACCTTAACACTGGCCACATTTGAAGATGTCCGTGATGCAGAAGATGCTCTCCATAATTTGGATCGAAAGTGGATTTGTGGTCGGCAAATAGAAATCCAGTTTGCACAGGGGGACCGCAAGAGTAAGTGCCTGCATTTTCTCACTCCCTGAATCTCAGCACCCAGCCCTGCACGTGCTGCTCATTGTTGTGATAGTTATTATTGTATGTAAATAGCACGTGGATGTTCTGCCTTTCATCCAGAACTTTTAATGACTCGTTTAATTATAAATACATAACCAAGTATAGCAGTCACTGCAGTCGTTCTTCAGAGCTTTCTGTGCAGCTCTGTGTGATTCCCAGGATTGAGGTCATGTCTTCGTTTTCATTTGGCTTCAGGATAAAAGGCAATTTCAAGTTATCTCGATTCAAGGTGGAGCAGAACTTGTATTTTCTGAACAGATAAATGTAAAGAAAATTTAGGTCTTTTAAATCTGTTGTTTGTGTGCATATTCTTCATTTGCAGGGAGATACAAATTTGTAAAACCTGTCTCAGCCCTGTTGGTCTAAACCAGGATTGTACTACTCACGTGATGCCTGGGAATAAAAAGAACTTGAAGGTCTTTAGTTGCAGCTCTCAGAGAAGCAACCTGACTGTCCAGTTCTCCCTCAAGTCCTCACAATTAACTTTAATGGAGTCAATGGAAATTCTGCACTCCAAAGGACAAGTTTCTGCCCTGTGTACAAACATTGGGATTTGTAACAAGTTTCTGAAAAAAATTAACTAAATCCACCTTAATGTGTTGCAAGCAGCACTAAAAACTTAAAATTTGAAGCCATTTAGTACAGAGGATGTTTGTTCCACCTGTTTAAAATACTTAGAGCATGGTCCTTTGGTTTGAATTTGATACAGAGAAAGGACAGCTGTGCTGCTTAGAGGAAATACAGTGGAAGACTAATAGTTTCATTCATTCTTAATTACTTTAATAACTAAACTGCAGAGTGAAAGTGAATTGTTTTACTGAGGGGTTCCTTTTGGAAGCAGACTTCCTTTTGTGTGGCATCCACTAAAGCTTTTGTATAAGCTGGGCCTTTAATCATTGAAGACAGCTGTGGGTCAGGTGTGATGATGGTACTGTGCAGTCAGGAAAAAGTGTTTAATTAGCTTTCACTCATTGGGTAAATTCAGGAATGTCAGAATGTGTCAGTCATGGGTCTGACCTGCCGCACCAGTTTCCAGCTGGCCTGAAATCACCTTGGGCAGCTCGGTGTTCTGGTTTTATAGAGCATTAGTCCTTTCTGACTGGTTTTGAGGGGTTTTGTTTGTTTGTTTGGTTTGCTTTCTAGATTTACAGTACCCCTAAGGCTGCATTAATTTGTGTCCAGTGGCTCAACCAGCACAAAACAAGTGGCACAGAGCAGCCTCTCACATATCCCTTCATAAACATCAAATCACAAATGAACCTTTCTGCTTAACACCAAATACAAGGCTTAGACCTTGAGGGGAAAAATTAGGCCATCTTCTTCACCTGCAAATATTGCTATTTTTACAGCACCAAACCAAATGAAAGCCAAGGAAGGGAGAAACCTGTACAGTTCTTCTCGTTACGATGACTATGACAGATACAGGCGGTCTCGGAGTCGCAGCTACGAGCGCAGACGGTCGCGGAGTCGCTCCTTTGATTACAGCTATAGAAGATCCTATAGTCCCAGAAAGTAAGTGTAGTGTGTGGGGCTGGCCTCAGCTGCACAGCACAGACACACCACGCTGACTATTTAATTGGTACACTTTGGAATAATCTTTTTTTCCTATCGTGGGAGTAACCACTGGGAGTTGCGTACTTTGCATGCTGCATCTGATCAGGAGTAATGAATGAAACTATTCTGTGCTGCTTTGGAGAATAACTAAAAGCAAATGCACAGCTTGAAAACAGAATGTGTTAAGTATTTGTACACTTACCTAGGTATTTGTCACCATTTACTTTTTCTGATGTACCTTTTTAGCAGTAGACCTACTGGAAGACCTCGTCGTAGCAGAAGCCATTCGGACAACGATAGGTAAAAAACCACTTTTTACACCCTTTAAATTGCAAGCTAGATCACTGTATTCCTTTAACTATAGGTTTAAAAAAAAAAGTTTCTCCTGCAAAAACGGTAAACAATTTTTGATGTACTAGATGTCTAAGAATAGTGTTTTTACATTCAAATCTCCTCTCTCCCCTTTATTCTGATAGGTTCAAACACCGCAATCGATCTTTTTCAAGATCTAAGTCCAATTCAAGATCACGATCCAAGTCACAGCCCAAGAAAGAAATGAAGGCTAAATCACGGTCTAGGTCTGCATCTCACACCAAATCTAGAGGCACCTCTAAAACAGATTCTAAAACACACTATAAGTCCAGCTCAAGATATGAGAAGGAGTCGAGAAAAAAAGAACCAGCTAGATCCAAATCACAGTCAAGATCACATTCTAGATCTAGGTCAAAATCCAGATCAAGGTCTTGGACTAGTCCCAAGTCCAGTGGCCACTAACAGTGTATCCATGTTGGTTTAGGCATGTAAGATTCATTTACACACAGTTCAGTTTACTTAATTATCAGGAATATAATGTTGCAACAGTGCTAAAAAATATTTTCTTTGTCAGTTTTCCCTGTAGCCGACAATGGTTGAAATTAAAACAGTGTTGAGAAGCCACAGAGAGAGAGAGAGAGGGAGAGAGATTGTCCATTTGGTTAAATGTCATGGGCAGCTACTGATTTGGTTGTGGTGTCTCTATGTATATTTTTGTAAAGATCTGCATTTTTAATGCTTAGATATTTGGTGATGACTTGATTGATCGTAACTTGCAACATTGTCCTTTTACAAATGTCACACCCATAGAGAAATTCCTACCAGTTTGTGCTGGGCAGTTAAACCAGCTTTTTAACTGGTTCTTCAACTCTATAAAGTCTGTGAGAAAAAGGAAAACTGGACAGCTGTAGTGCAACACTGGCTGCTAGGAAATCAGACTGGCAGTTTGTTTCCATGGCTCCAGGGCAGGTTTCCATGTTCTCCGTGCCCACCAGCACCAGCAGGTTGGCACATGGAGCTCTGTGGAGGGAGATTTGGGAGATTTCTCTTTAGCCTGCAGTCTGGAGAGATGGTACTAACCTTGCATGTACGACATGGGCAGAGAGCTGGTCTTGGAGCTCACTCAGAGCCTGTGCAGTGTTGTTGACCCCTCGGGATAGAGGCTTCACTGCCTCTGCCCTGGCTGCTGGTGCTGAATGTGAGGGAAAATCCCACCTTGAAATGAAGATCTAAAATCAGATTTCAGCAAACGGCAGAGCAACTAAATATTAGGTTGTGTGTACATTTATGCAGTTTTTTGTATCCTCAATTTTAGTGAGCAGTTAACCATAAAGTTGCTTAGTTTTCCTGCTGTTAGATACAAGTAGATTGTTTCAAGTTGTGTGTGTACAGTATATAAGAACTAAACTTTTATGCCAATGACTCCTGTGGTTAGTTGGTGTATTCATAGGTATCAAACTGTAGCCATCTCCCTGGGTTACCAGGCTTGCTTGCTTTTTACACAGCAAAAAAGCAGTTGGTCAAGCAAGTCTGAATCACTCCTTCCTCAGAATGGATAGTGGTTTGGTTACAAGATTTCCTTTTCCTTCAGAACAAATGTTTAAAGTTGGATATGAACAAGAGCTGCATCTCTAGTTATGTAGTTTATCATTAATACAGTATATTTAGAAAATTAAACGTGAAAAATAACAAACCCAGTGTGTAATCTTACCAGTATTTCTCTAGAAGGCAAGATCCTTTGTGAATGGAAATGGCTTTTGGCATTGTTTTTGGGCTGTTTTTTTTTTTACCTTCAAAAGCCACCATCAAACACTTAAGTGTTCCTCTCTGTCTGATGTCNTTTTTTTTTTTACCTTCAAAAGCCACCATCAAACACTTAAGTGTTCCTCTCTGTCTGATGTCGGTAGGATATAAAGACATTGATATCCAGAAGTTCATTCTTAGAGAAATGTTTTAGGGTTTGGGTTTAGGGTTTCAGCAGGGCCTTTCAAGAAGTGCAGATGGCTTTGGGATCTTGTCAGCGGAACGTGCTTAGGGGTTGATCCTAGAACCTTTGTACATTTAAAAGTATTTCTAACTTTTTCTTTACTGTTTGCAGTTAATGTTCATGTTCTGCTATGCAATCATTTATATGCACGTTCCTTTAATTTTGTAGACTTTCCTGGATGTATAGTTTAAAAACAGCAAAAAGTCTATTTAAAACTGTAGCAGTAGCGTGCAGCTCTAGCAGAGGAAAGTTGTGGGATTAAACTTTGTATTTCCTTTCTTATAGAGGCTTCTAAAAAGGTATTTTTATATGTTCTTTTTAACAAATATTGTGTACTACCTTTAAAACATCGATGTTTTGATCAAAATAACTAAAGACCCAGCTTATTTTCTGCTTGCTGTAAATTTAGCAAACATGCTGTAATAAAAAAATGAAGGAAATACTGATCCACTGGAATTATTGTAGCTTTAGAATTTGACTCCAGAGCATGGTTAGGAGTAGAGCTATACATCCCTTATGGAGTAAAATCCTTACTATGGTATTTCAGTAAAGGCAGGAATTTTTCATTTAGTGTCTGAATAAATGTCACTTCACATTTTTGAAGGGGTACAAGACAAACTGAGAACACTAAGCATAAATTGTACTCTAATATATTGAATCTTCTTTGCCATTAACTTTTATTATTGCTGGATGGACTTGCCACATAGGTTATAATTCAGATATTATTAGCCAGGTTATGAAACTACTTAAAAGCAATGACTGAAGGTTCATACAGAATCAAAATTATAGTATCACCATAAGAATTTGTAATTGCCATATCAAAACTGCTGCCAGCAGTGGTTCTGTGGGAGGTGGCAACAGGGATGGAGGTGCCTCCTGGCACTGGTGTGTGCCCAGCTGAAGGTTCTGCCCTGAAAGACAAAAATCCTCTGTAAAGCACTGAATTGCTTTCATAAACCCACTGTCACCCTTTATAAGTTGAGCTGTGATTATTTCTGCTAGCAGCAGAAACCCCCACTCTTTTCAGCTTTATAGATTTATATATATAAATATAGTCTTCATGACTAAGTCCTGCTTGAGAGGGGTCCTCGTGCCTGAGTGGGGAGAGCGTGGCTGTGGCTGTGCCAGGGGCCTGCAGGCACTGCTGTGCTTGATGGTGGTGCTGCTCCAGCTGGAATTGGAGCTGGAGGGGTGGGAGGAGGGATGAGAAATCTCCATGTCCAGGCAGAGTAACAGTAAATATTCCTTAACTGTTGTGTCAGCATGTCCTTATATTGTGTGCCTCAGCATTTATGTATAGCACAGTTTAATTTTTGTTTTGAAAAGCCAGATCATTGCAAGTATAATGTAGTGTCTGCCAGTTCTGATGGTTCTTTCTTTCTCTCCCAGAGGTAGGACTAAACTTTGACTTGACTTGTGTATATGAACAAGCCAGAAAAGCCGAACACAAACCCACGATGTTTCAAGAGTGCATGAATAAAGATGTTGTCCTAGTTCTTGCTCCCATGGAAAAATTGTGAAGAAGCTGTTCTGTGGGCCTTTCAGTTGGGGAAGAGTTAGCAGGATGTGGCCAAAAGGGCAGGGAATGTTTATGCATTCATGCAAATCAAGCCACAGCCCATCTAGATAACATCTCCCTTCCTTGATGCAGGTATCCCAGTCCTGCCCTAAAAAAAGCAGGAGCCTGTCTTGTGCAAGCTTCCTGCAGGTTATGCACAGCTGGAATGCAAGAACTTTGCAGGCTACAAAAGATCATGTCTAGATATCTTTCTTTTGGAGTCTCAAGAACGGTGGGAATTACGTTTTTCTGTGGTAAATCTAGATTTTTGTCATTCCTGCAAAATTTGTAGAATTGAAGTAGTGTGTAAAAAGAGAAAACTTCTGCTGAAATTAATGGCTGTGCTCCAAAATATCTGCAGCGAATCGATTGGTGTCAGCAGTCATAGAAGGCTCTATTGGAACTTCTTTTTCACCTAAAGTCCATGCACCCAACTGGTAATTAAAAATCTTCAATTTAGTGGTTAAGTAGCTGGGTGTTTAATTAGGGACTCTGCTAGATTGGTCTCTGAAAGCTCAATGTTATCCTTTCTATGTCTTATCAAGATGTTTAATGTACAGTATCATGGTTTTACTCAAAGTGGAATCTTTTGGTTTCAATGTTGTTTGGAGCTCTCTGCTTGGACAGAGCTTTTTTTCCTGCCTGCTGAGTCTGGTGACAGCTCGGGGTGCTCAGAGAGGGGCAGTGCAGGCACGCACAGCGCTGCTGCTCGGGCCTGGCCAGGGACGGGGCAGATCAACATTCTGAAGTACAGAGGGATAAAAGTGACACATTTTTAGGACATAATCACCCATTATGAATTGCTGGTTTTCTCCATTTATCTTGTAACTTGCTTAAAAAAGTCTGTAGTCCATTGCTATATTTGTCTAAAGATGCTCTTGCTGCTGAGACTATTGTAGGAAGGGAAGACTCTGTACCCTGTAGTGTGTTTGATCGGAGATGCTGATGTTTTATTCACCCCCATCCTTTCTTCTTGAGTTTTGTGTTCCATCTGTGCAAATAACCATGTGAATTGGGAATAAAATGTACAAGTTTTGACTATAACTTGAGAGCACCTTCTGACTTAATTAATCCAGCTGTAGTGTGTGGGAGACGGAGCCCCAAGCTGCTTCCCAGCCTCGCCAGTTTTGGTTTTGTCAGAAATGTTAATTAGTGTTAATTCTCCAGCTCTGTGTTCCCTAACCACTGGAAGGCGTGAAGGAGAAGGCTGCAGTTAAAGAAAGCTCCCTTGAGAAGGGAATTGCCAAAATGAGGTCATCCCACTTTTCCATTTCCATCTGAAAACAAAGAGATTCTTTTAGGGGGTAAAAAAAAAAAAGTTTATTTAAATGTTTTGTTTCCAATTTGTACACACATCATCAGTAACTGACAATTTGAAGTGGAGAATAGATAATTAACTGGGATACAGCTCAGACTCTGGTGAAGGTCCAGGTCAACACAAGTTTAGAGACTGCCAATTCCATGTGATTTGGAGCAATAATTTTGTAAACATTCAGATCAGCTGCCACTGCATTTGGAAGGTACAGAAAGACACCTCCAAACATTTCACAATCTGCAAAAGGCCCGTTCAAATTAAAGTTGTTTTTTTTTTTTTTAAAGTAATCCTTGTATTTTGGAAGAACTGTGGCTGCTCCTGTTGTCATCTTCCAGCAAGATCAGCCAGAGGGTGACAGCACAGGAGCCACCTGCCCTGGTCCTCTGCCGAGGGATTTTAGCAAAGATTGGGACAAAATGTTGCTTTACAGAGCATTGATGCATTTCAGGAACACAGAACGATTACAATCCTGCAGTTTTATCAAGCACCTGAGCCCAGGCATTTGCATTTCTTGTGAAACACTTGATTTGGAACATTTCAGTGTTTTTTCGTCACTGAACACACACCTCTCCTACACATTCACAACAGGAGGATCTGAGATTCCAGCAGCTTTTTTTTTTTTTAAGTTTTTTTCTTTAATAAAAAAATCTAAATAAGCCTTTTTTGCACTGATTTTACTTAAAAAAAAAAATGTAAGAACCAAATACAATGTGCATATTCACTGCATGTGAAGTATAAGGGCACAGCCACAAATGTATTTTTTTTTTAATTTTTTTTTTTTAACAAAATATTATTTTTTTAAACCAGGCCACGTACTCAACATGGTCATCTTACATTCAGCAGTTTTGTACTAAAAATACTTCTGTGCAGGAAAGCCCAGCAGAAATTTACATATGCTACAATGTTTTACATGTATTTACATGGCTCTGTCTTCCCTGTGAGAACATCTAACATGTGCCCCAAACTATTAATTGTTACAGGGGAAGCAATTTAAAACCAAACTAAGGAACTACTCCACCTTTTTTTATAAAAACTGATAAAAACGTGGTTTAGAACTCCAGTGCAGTGGGCACACAAGGATTTGGGGAAGCTTTTTTGGCAGTCTCCTGGCAATGCAAGCTCTTTAGTTGGCACTCATGGAGGTTCCTGGGAAGCACAGCTGGATCTGCCTGAGGAGTTCTGCCAAACCCTTCCAGAACATTCCAGATGGGAGTCAAGGGATTGAAACGCTCACCCACCACTGCAGGAGTGCCACTAAAGCTCGCAGGGACAGGGAAGAGAATCAGCTGTGCCTCCCCGTGTGCCCAGATGGAAGTTTCTGCTCTGCAGAGTGTTTAGCAAATCTCACACCAGTCTGAAAAGCAGCAAATAACCTGACTAAAGTTTTCAGTGCGTTTTTAGTTTCAGTTCATGCTGCATTAAGTTAGGTAAAAGGTGGTTTTCTAACAATTCAAAGCCTCAAGTCCAATTCTGGCACACAGTCCCATTTATTCTTAAATACAGTAAATGGTGACTGCTCAAGATTTGATTGATTTTCAAGAAAATATCTATTTCACAGTGAGGTGAACACAGCACTGAACTTTTGAGGTAAAAGATGAGGGGAATGTAAACTTTCACCCCTCTCCAAGTGACTAACTACATGCAGCAAGAACACCTGGTCCTGGCACACCTGGAGTTTGGAATAGAAATGCTCAAATCTGAAACCCTGACAGTCAAAATCACTTCTGAAAATCACACAAGTTACACCTCAGGCCTGAACTTTCAGTAAGGTTTTGAGCTGAAATGTCATTATTTCTTTATCAGAAGGTTTAAAAGAAACAGGTACCCAGTGGCTTGG